GATTCGGTGTCTTCCGCGTGACTCAGGACCTCGGTAGGGCGTGCACAGACCTGCCTGTCTGCAGCGGGCTGATTCGGCGTGTGTTCCACGAGACTGGGGACCTCGGCAGGGTGTGGGCAGACCTGCCTGTGTGCAGTGGGGTGATTCGGCGTCTTCCGCGTGACTCAGGACCTCCAGTGAGACTTTGTCTTAGAATCAAAAATCAAAAAAGCTGGGTATGTAGCTCAGTGTTAGAATGTCTCTGGGTTCAATTTTCTGTATCACAAAAAGAGAAAAAGCCACTCTATGATATTTAAGATTATTAAACATAGTGATATGGTAATCTGGTGAAGGCGACCGACCTGACCAGTGCCATGCTTCTTTGGCATAATTAAAATTTTGTCTTTAAGAGAGAGGTAATTCTTACTAGCACGTGTGAACAGGAAATCAGAATTATAGGATGAGGTCTTATGTAGGCCAGTGGCTCATGGATGGGGAGTATTTTGTGCCCTGGGAGCATGTGGCACTGTTTGGAGACAGTTTGGGTTGTTACAGCTGGGAGCCGGGTGGCACTCACTGGCTTTTACCAAGTGTAGAAACCAAGGGTGCAGATAAATATCCCACAGTGCTGTAATCCCAGCCCTCTGGGAAGCTGAGGCAGGAAGAACACAAGTTCCAGCCCAACCTGGGCAACCTAGAGTGACCTTGTCTCAAAATTTAAAAAGGCTTGGGGATATTATTCACTGTGAAGGTCCTGGGTTCAACCCCAGTCCTACGTCAGGGCGGGCAGTGGAGCCAACTGGGCCAATATCGAGAAACTTCAGGTAAGCAAAAGAATTGTCCTTTGCCTTCTTTGTTCAGGCCTAACTTTGAAGAGCGAAGTTATTTAAGAGCTATTCCTGAGTAAGACCAGTTAAAAAATGGCCCCTGCCATAGGGAGGTGGCTTCTCTAGAAACAGTGAGACCAAGTAGTCCTATTTTGATGTGTTTATCCTTATATCTATTTTTATCAAGAACATTTGTACATCTTTTTAATTAGATTAGCTTTACAAGCAACTTGAGAGGTCTTTCATAAGGAAACACTGCTTTTCAAATTACATGACTTTATAGTCTGTCTTGAAATTCTTTGCCTGCTATTAATAAAGGTCTGTGTTTTATAGCTGGTTAATGTATTGAATAAAAATAGTATTATGAAGCTTCATCTTTAACCAGGATTAACACATATAGGCCACAAATAGTTTTAAATAGTCTTGCTTGGTGACAAATTAACAGTCCCACTGATATGAAACGAATAGATTCTAAATGGATATTGAAGAACTGGCTATCCTGATTTTGGAATCTTCCTTATATCTTTTTAATATTCAGTGTTTTTCTTGTATTAGGAAAGCACTTTTATAGCATCATCTTACCTAACAACACTTATAATGCCCTAGTTGTGAGGTAGCTTAGGGCTGGGGCAAACCACACAACTAACTCGGTAGGATGGGTCCATGATCATAAAAACCGACAGCTACCAGGTTGAGTGAGCTGTTTCCTAAAAAGAGAAGACGTGTACAACTGAACCCAAAATGATTCCAGGGTTAGGGCTCCTGAGTACCTCACACAGAACCAGTAAGACACAACATTCTCAATCCATTTGAATCTGGTGTTGTTTGTAAGATCAATCAGAAGATCCTATTCCCAGTCCTTTATTTGCATATGGGCACAACCAATGAAAAAGCTTTCTGATCCTTCATTTACATCTGGCAAGACAGCAAGCGGGCTTTTGACAGGACAATTGTCCCAATGCTGTATTTCCATATGGTAGAGGCCAATCCAGGTGTTCAAACAGTAAAGACCCCTTTCCCTTTATCCTCTGGGTTGCTGTGAGCCTTTTGACTGGCCTGCTCTAGTCCTGTAGTGTAATTCTTTTCTGCCTTCAGAAAATGTATACTCTCGCTGCCTTTGTGTGTCTTGTCCATTCTTTGTTTGGGACACCTAGGATCCAGAAAGAACCCCTCACCCAGAACCACCACCTGGTAACAGCTGTACTGATAAAGGCTCCAAATTTAGTTCTCCTTAGCTGTGTAGCAAAATATTAAGACAAGAAAGGGTCAAGTGGTAGTGAAAGACTCCAAGGACAAAACAAACTCTCAGAAAGTAGGGCTGCATAACCCATCCACCCTGCACCATAGCTGACTCCCACAAGTACCAATCCTGAAGGTTCGAGAAGAGTAGCATATACTCCAGTCAAATGGACACTGTCTTAAACTGCAAACTGAACATACAGAACTCCAAAGAACAATGTCAAGTGTCAATGAAGAGTTTCTTTTTAGTGTAAGTTGTGCTGAACTGTGTTTAACTGGTAAAAGATTGAAACTCATCCTTCCACATGCAATTTCTCAGTTTATTCATCCAGTTCAGAACTTCCAGTCAGTAGTCAAGAGCTGACAATCAAGTTGTCAGGACACAGCACATAATCATGAAACTTAAACAGCAAATAGTGTTTGTTCAAAGGCCAAGTGTGCAAAATCCTGGAAGTGTATTTAAGTTAGAATAAAGCCAAGAGGGCCAAGGATTTAGCTCAGTGGTTCTGCGGCATGCCTCGCAAGCACAAGGTTCCAAGTTCAATCCCCTGTACCAAATAAATAAATACATAAAATAATAAAAAATAATAAAGCCAAGAACATCCTAACCCGATATAATGAACAAAAGCTTCACAGAGATGGGATTTTAAAGTGAGAATGTGAAGAATATATAGGATTGGGAAAACATTGTAATAACGGTTTTATAATGATGCCTTTTAGCAAGAGCTAAGCTGAAAAAGCCAGAATGCAAGAGTGAAGTCTTGGGACACAAGAACTGTGATGCTTTTTTCACCGTCCTTTGATATTCTCTAATTATTCAGTGTTAACGTTTGTTTTCCCTGATACTGGGGACTGAACCCAGGGCCTTTGCACTGAGCTACACCCCCGCCCTCTTTCATTTACTCTGATCCTCTCTTCTACCTTTTTTTTGAGGCCGGGTCTCCCTATGTAGTTCAGACTGGCCTTTAACTATGTAGTCTACGCTGGCTTCGAACTCACGCCTATCTTTCTGCCTCCGCCTCCCAAGTGCTGGGATTACACACGTTTGCCACCCCGCCTGGCCCTTCTACTTTCATCTCTTTTTCTCTTTTTGTCTGCACACGAGGAAAAACGGGTAATACTTTCTGACAAAATAAAACAAGGCAACACTTTCAGTATGTTTGCACATGAGACCTGTATGATTTACTGTAAGGTAGGTTTCCTCTGAAGTATTCAAGGGATTTTTTTTTTTTTTTTGCTGAAATTCTTTTATTGGTACGTTTTAGGTATACAATACGTTTACATTTATCATTGGGTGCTTGTACCTGTACATAATATATCTTGGTTCTTATTTTTTCCCCATTACCTGTGCGCCCTTCACCCCTCCACCCTTCCCTATTTACAGAGACGTCGTTTCCATTTTTTTTTTCTTTTCTCATAATTTTTCCTTTCCATTCTTTCTCAAGGGATTATTATTTATTTTTGGTACCGGGGGATCGAACTCGGGACCTTGCACTTGAGAGGCAGGCGGCGGCGCCACTGAGCTAAATCCCCCGCCTCCTCAAGAGATTCTTTAAGGCTGCCTGGTCTCCTCTATTACTATTTCCCTTTAGGCAGACGAAGACAACTGGAGTGCACCCGGTAACATTTAACCACCGTATCACTGTCACCCTGGCGCTAAGATACAACTTAGGGTATAATGAGCTTCATTTGCATCAGAAAGGCCAGGTTCAATGCCTCCAGCCCAGCGATTCTCGGGTCCTCTGATCTGCTTTCCGGATCGGGGATATCAGCTGCGGGAGCCCTGGGCACCAAGGTCCCGGGACGCCTCCCTCGGCCCTGGGGACGCCCAGCCAGACGCTCCGCAACGAGCCACGGTGGCTTCTCGTGCCTCTCGCGAGAGATCGGGCGGCCCCTCCTTCCTCGCAGCTGTCGCCCCCCCCGCCCCGCCCTCGCCTCCCCGGAGGACTTGCACGGCTTCCTCAAGAGGGCGGGGGTCCTGGATTTGGCGGGGCCGGGCGATCCTTGTAGCAGCCACAGCCGGAGGCGCCTGGAGCGCTGGGAGAAGGCCGGTGCGGGAAGTGCGCACGCGCGCGCGGCGGGGGCGGAGGTGCGCACGCGCGCGGCCAGGCCGGCGGCTCCCGGGACGTCGGTGGCGCAGCGAGGCTGGGTCCACTGGCGCGGTGTCGTAACCCGCCGGCTTCCCTGTGTCCGATCTTCTGCGTCCCGGTGAGGGGCGGGTGGGGAGAATGGCTTCGGAGATCGAGTCCTCTCTGGAGGCCAGCTTCTCCAGCAGCTGCGTGGTGTCAGGGGCTTCGGGGTGCCTGCCTCCGGCCCGCTCCCGCATCTTCAAGATCATAGTGATCGGCGACTCCAATGTGGGCAAGACCTGCCTGACCTACCGCTTCTGCGCCGGGCGCTTCCCCGACCGCACCGAGGCCACCATCGGGGTGGATTTCCGAGAACGAGCGGTGGACATCGACGGGGAGCGCATCAAGGTGAGCGAGGGGCGCCGAAGGGCGAGCGCTCCGGGTCGGTCACGCCGAGGCGGAGGTGGGAAGGCTTTGGTGCAGCGGACTTCTGAGGCAGCGTTTCCCAACTTTAATGTGCGTAAGATTTGCCTTGGATTTTCAGCAATGCAGATTCAGACTTGGAAGATTCCAGGATGGTGGCGATCACACCTGGAGTGTCCGGACCGCGGGGGGTGTTCACAGCCTTATGGGCTATGTCTCAGGGAAGGAAAACGTGGGCTTTCTCAAAAATAGAAAATTCATTTAGTATATGTCATTTAGTAAAGACTTTTGAGCACTATGCTAAGTATCGGGGCGCCTGTTGCCTTTGAAGAAGTACTTAGGTTCTTGAATACACTTTTGCCTGCAGTACTTTGTGTATGACATTGATTTATTTTCCCACAGAAACGTTCTATATGTGTGTGGTAGTTCCGGCTTGGACTGCCAAAACCGTGTCTCCTGATGCTTTTTCAGGCCCTGATGAAATCCAGTTCTTCCTTTCTAGTCATTGTAGGTGCTCCCCCCCACGAGTCTCAGTAACAGTAGAGGAGGTAGAAGGCCTGAGGGCGCCAACGCTGGAGCTCTTGGGGGTGAATGGGGTCCCTGAGAAAGGATCCCTAACCTTAGACACGGTTGCAGTCAGCCTTACTAAACACCACTAATAACCACCCCTTAGAACTCGGAGCCTAGAGCAGCCCTGCAGTCCTTGCCGGATTTACTTTTTGCTTCAATGTTCATCTTTCTATCAGTCGACTTGAGGGTGGGGCTGGGTGGGAACAGGCTTTGGTCATCCTAACTTTATATCCTGAGGCAAGAACAATTTCTTTTTCAGTTCTCTGTTGTGTGAAAAGAGAGTTAAAAGGAATCAAGCCTTCTCTAGGCTCTTCTTGCCTTTTAATTTTACAGCTGCCAGTATTGGTCCTTGGGGTGCACTGTGTTAGGGAGTTAAGAAAGATTAGTATACTGTACTTTGTAGAATAAGGAGAGCTGAACAGTTTTCACCGAAATTAGGTTAGGCCCAGAAGAATATGAAGTATAATAAATAATGAGGCTTCTGAAGTATGAGGGCCCAGCTTGGGAGAGGGAGAAATTCTGGAAGAAGGTTTTTTTTTTTTTTTTGGTACCGGGGATGGAACTTGGGACCTTGCGCTTGCAAGGCAGGTGGCAGAACCACTGAGCTAAATCCCTGGCCCCTGGAAGAAGGTTTTTGGGGTTTGAAGTTCAAATATAAATTATTTTGGGGGGAGGGCTTGAGACAGGGTCTCATTGTGTAGCTCAGGCTGGCCTGGAACTCAATCCTGCCTCAGCCTCCTGAGTGCTGGGATTATATGCATATACTACCACTCCCAACAAATGTGAACTTTTGAAAGGGTGAGGGAAGTGCCATGGTTCGAGCCTGTAAACCAAATTTGGAAATTTAATCCCCAAATCCATATGTTAATGAGGTGGGATTTTGGGAAAGTGTTGAGGGTTAATCCATTTATGGTACTGATGGGTTAATCCATTAAGCAGTTAATGAGTTAATCCCTTCATAGATTAACAGGCTGTCACCACGTGGCTTTGTTTCTAAAGCCAGCTTGCTCAGTCACCCAGGATGCCCTCCATGTTACTGTGGCCAAAGGGCCCCATCAGATGCTCTTGTACTTCCCAGCCTCCCAGCCTTGAGCCCCGTAGGCTTCCATTCTTTATAAATCGCTCAGTCTCAGATCCTTTCTGGCAACAAAAGGGAGCACGCTGGATGGACTGTGTGTCTTCAGTGCAGTGATCACCTTTGCCTAAGACTGTCCAGGTTTAAAAACTGAAAATCCCTAGAAGCCCCTCGGTCTCGGGCACACCAGCATAGCTTGCCACCCTGGCCTTAGGCAGCTTCCCTAACCTGAGCCTGTTTTCTGAAAACTTGGAGCCTGATACCTGGTGAGTCCGGTGTGAGGGTCAGATGAGATGTGCGAGGCACACAGATTCACAGTTGGTACCCTTACAGGACTCCTTGCCTTTCCTGGTGGCTTTGACATTTACTGTCCTTTATCACCGCTAGTTTTGGAGCTCTACCCCCAAAGAAGGAAGAGGTGGGGAGGGCATGAGTAGAAGCTGAAGGGGAGAGAAATTCCCAGAAAAGTCAGAGTGGGAAATTGATCCTAGATGAATGAGGCACAGATGTTACAAGATACTAAGCTGAAAACTAATAGAGCATGTCCCATGCATAGAGGCACTTAACTACTGGGCACGGGTGCTGGCAGAACGCAGTGTGGTGATCTGAGCTCTGAGCTGATCCTTCCAGGTGGGAAGAGCGAGTAGAAAACATTTTTATCTGGGTGCTTCCTCATGATCTTTAGTGTGTCACATCCATCGGGACCTGGACACTGAGATGCTTTTTCCTCCTCTGAGGCTCTTGTTGCCCTCTGTTGTGCCTCCAGCTGTTAAGTAAGACTTGATTTTTTTGTTTGTGACTATGATGCAGTTTATTTCAACACACTAAACCAACAAGTAACAACTGAAAACAACTTTAAGACTCGAGATTTTGCGATTGGAAAGGCTGCAGAAATTTTTTGAGACTTCTGTAGTATATGTGCTGCCGAAGCAAGTGCTTGAGACTTCTGTAGTAGAAAAAAAAAATACAGCCAGCCAGGTGTGGTGGTGCACGTCTGCAGTCCCAGCACTGGGGAGGCTGAGGCAAGGGGCAGAGGCAAGGGCCAGCTAGGGCTACAATAGTGAATCAAAGGCCAGCCTGAACTACATAGTGAGACCCTGCCTCAAATAGGAAGGAAGGGAGGGAGGGAGGGAGGAGATAAGTACCAACTATGTTGGATTTTCCTTTGAGACAGAGTCTCACTATGTAGTTCAGGCTGGCCTTGAACTCACTATGTAGCCCTGGCTGGCTTCCAACTGGTGGCAATCCTCCTGCCTCAGCCTCCTGAATGCTGGGATTACAGGCATGTGCCACCATGCCCTGTTTTCTGTATGTTACCACCGCCTTCCCTAACCTGTTACGCATCTTAAGTGCAGCTGACATGTTCTTGTCATGTTCACATTATCTTGTTTGGAAAACTGTGAGTCTGATCTGAATGACATTTCTTACGGTTTTTTTGTATTAAAACTGAAAATCCTATTACTTTATTAATGACATTCTGGACATTGATAAAAATGAGATAGTGTTAAATATTTTTTATTTGTGAACTAGACATTTTTCAGAGATCATGACTTAATAGCCCTTTCAGGATTTGTTTAAGTGTTTCAGGACGCCACCTGCCTCGCAAGCTCAAGGTCCAGAGTTCGATCCCCTGTGTGTTGGGGGGGGGTAGTTTCATGAACTGTAAAAAATTTCTGTTTGCTAGTCTGCTTCTAAGTACTGTACATATATAATTGAAAGAAGAATATCTTATTTGCAGGACTTTTGAAATTGAGTAGTTATAAAACTGATTTTTCTTATTTCCTTTTTTTCTTTTTTTCTTTTTTGGTACCAAGGATCGAACTTGGGACCTTGCACTTGCGAGGCAGGTGGCGAAACCACTGAGCTAAATCCCCGGCCCCCATATGTATTTTTGAGACAAGGTCCCGCTATATATTCCAGGCTGGTTTTGAGCTCACTGTGTAGCCCAGGCTGGCCTTGAACTAGGTGATCCTCCTGTCTCAGCCTTCTGAATGCCGGGATCATAGGTGTGCGCCACCCGGCTGGCTCAATGTTAACTAAAGGAAGATAATCAGGGCGAGTGTTGGCTAATTGCTTGGGGGCCCAGTGGTCTGCTGCCTGTTCTACACGGCCTGCAACCTAAGGATGGTTCTTCTTTTTAGAGTCTTTAAAAAAACTTTTGTTTATATCCTTTTATTGGTACATTTTAGGTGTACAATATAATGACATTCATCATTGGAAATTTGCACCTTTACATAGTCTCTCTTGGTTCTTATTTTTTCCCCCTTCCT